TCAATTTTAATTTATTGGAAGTACTATTGTGTAGCACTTATTAATATGTACTTATTAGATGGGTATGTAGCTAGAAGTATTTGAAAAATAGATATAGAACTAAGCATAAATTTATAGATGGAGTGTGGTATAGGTGATTTACCTTGGTAACTTCATTAGTTTAAGATCATCTCTTCCTGTTGGTAGATTTGTTATTGAAAGACTTCTCCTGTGTAATAGCTTTGTAATAGTATATTTCATCTCTAGAGCCTAAAATTACTCTTTTCAACCCGAGGCCAAGCCGAGGTCAGAAAATGAGCTAGGGTTGAAAAGAAACTATTTGCCCGTGTCATGAACTATATTTTTCATCAAATTGCACCACTATTTGAACAAACTATGTTACAAAAATAAATAGTTTTCATTTAAAGTAACCTCTCAAAAATACTTATTGTTTTCAATTTAATTTGCTAATGGAAACAAGCAGCTGTTTTGTAAGTCATTCAACAATTTCACCTATTACGATTATGTTAGTGTACTATATTGATATGTAATAGTATATTACGTAACTAGTCCTGAAAATAGGTGTTTACAGGACGAGTGACGTACCGGTACGACATTTTACGCCATACTACTAAATCCGTACAAATCCTTATATATTACCACCGGCTAAAGGACTAACAATCACGAGTCATATCCTCTAAGAGAGGTTATGTTTTTGTTTATAAACTAACCACTCTCACTCATTGCCAAATACAGACAATACAGTATATAATCAGCTGGTTGGTTGGTGTCCGGTAAAACTCATTACAGTACAGTAGTACGCAATGAAACCCTATTTGATTAAGCTGATGGCAAACAGCTGTTTTCTGGACTAAATCCTTGTGTGGGAAGTTCGTCAAAACAGTGTAGTGTGGCGTAAAACTATTTACCCCACACTACATTATTTTGACGCACTTTCCACGAAAGGATTTAGTCCAGAAAACAGCTGTTTGCCGCCAGCTTATTCAAATGGGGTTTCATTGCGTACTACTGTTCTGCAATGAGTTTTACCGGACACCAATCAGCTGATTATACTTGTATTTGCGTGACAATGAGTGGTTATAAACAAAAATATAACCTCTCTTAGAGGTTATGACTAGTGATATTTAGTCCTTTAGTTGGTGGAAATAGATATAAGGATTTGTACGGATTAAGTAGTATGGCGTAAACTATCGTACGTAACTCGTCCAAAATATGTGTACCGGACTCGTATGGTAATCCCGTACTCGACTTCGTCTCGCACGGGAACGACCACACTCGTCCGGTAATCACTTATTTTCAGGACTAGTAACGTAATATACTATTACAATAAGGCAACAATAAACTGCAATCGATACATACTTTTGATAAATGTAATTGTTTACAATAGAAATTTACCACTTAGTTGACAACAGCCGATTTTTACTCACTAGGGGCTTAAAACAATTTCTACTCCCTAGAGAGTAAAATGCCACTTTAGACCCGCACATGCATGCATTAAAAACGGCTGTTTTTGCTACAGTATGTTGAAAAATTGTTTTGTATTCCTATTTTTTGACACACTTGTGTTTCCAGGATATAAAAAAGTTCATGGATGACGCCAAAGAAGGAGTGATCTACTTCAGCTTCGGCACAGTCGTCTCTACCCACACAATGCCTCCAGAAACACTTCAATTGTTTGTCAATGTGTTCAAGAAACTTCCGCAAAAGGTCTTGTGGAAGATAGAAGCTGACACTCTGCCTGGATTGTCTAAAAATGTGAAACTTGTGAAATGGGTTCCACAGCCAGGGGTTTTAGGTACGTTTGAGAGCTTTTACCTAAGACAATAACAGATTATACCCTGACAAATATCACCTTTTGGTTTTTTGCGAATGCAGCATTTTTGAAGCTTACAACTTTCCCAAGTCATTATGAAAAACCCCAAAACACAAATAGAAAAACAGAATTACCCACATTTTGATTTTAGTGCAAAGCATCAAAATAGTGAAATGAAAATGATCTATTTTAATAAGAACATTAGGCAGTTTGATTTGATCAAAGTCTGTACACTTTCACTTATACTAGACTACGATGGTGTCATTTGACCTTTAATCAGGCTATGGTCAATAATAAAGCTTCCTTTAGTAGTAAAATAGTCAAAACAAATACTCCAAAAAATACCTTACACCGTCAATCTTAACTTATAGTTAAGTGGTTGATTTTGCGTATTTGGGTCACCAATTTCAGTGTTTTCGTTAAATTTTAAATTTACATTATTTTTTAAATATCAATCACAAAATGTATTCCAGGTCATCCCAACTGTGCTGCCTTCATCACTCATGGTGGAGTCTTCAGCCAGTTGGAGGCTTATCACGCTGGGGTCCCAGTTGTTGGTATTCCATTCTTCGCTGACCAGTTTTTCAACATAAGATTCAATGAAGAGCAAGGCTTTGGTGTGAAAGTTGATTTTAATACGCTTTCAGTAGAAAGTCTCTTATCTGCATTAACCAAAGTTTTAAAGGAGCCAAAGTAAGTATGCACTAGGAAAAAATGGCTAAGTTATGTGCATCTTAAGACAGTTGAACTTGGTCACACAAGCAATGAAGTGGTGACCACGGGGATGAAATTAATAGTCAAGGCTAGAGTTGAAAAGGAAAAGCAATGCCTGCCTTATATGCTCTCAACTACAATGCCTGGCTTATGCTCTAAACAATAAACAGCAATGCCTGCCTTATGCTCTAAACAGCAATGCCTGGCTTATTCTCTTAACAGAAATGCCTGCCTTATGCTCTAAACACTACTTCTGAGCTACTGTATTTGGTGTCAGTATTTAATCTGTAAGTTTAAAACTTTATATGACTAAATGTTTGTGTGAAGATTGAACCGATATATACAGGGTGGTGCAAAAACAATAGGCAGTTTGTCTGAAGGTGAGGCAGTAGAAGGCCTCACCTCACCAACAGAATTGTGCAGTGGAGCATTTCTAGGAAAGGGTGGATTCTACGTTGCTAGATATTGAATTATGTTGTCAGTTGTTACATCAATACAGTTGTCACATTAATTTCTCCCTGATACTTGATCTTAAATCAACCATTTGTTTCAAACTAAAAGGGTTTGAATGTAGGGCATAAATATCAAATCCCAAATGCTCACTGATGAGTCAAGAAAACCTTAACAATTTTTGAACATCAATACTTTAGTCTTTGTTGCTGTAGGAGACAACGTATAGACAGTCTGCTAGAGACTATCCTTAACCTACTTTAATTAATCTAGTATTAACACATTTGCTACCATAATCATCACATATATGCGACGATACGGTTATTGCCACGGACAAAGGTATACATTTTAATATTACACATCTAGACTGGGTGTCCCTTGGTTGACAGTACACTCAGACCACGGGCCAGTGATGCAGCAAAGTAAAAAACCGATTGGCCGAAAAGCTGTGTTTGGTGTTTCTGGACCTTCTCGTCAGTCAATACGTATTTTTTCATTCAGGTACAAAGAAAACGCAGCTCGAATCTCACGTGTATTCCGAGATGTGCCAATGTCTGCGGCAGATACAGCTGTGTTCTGGACGGAGTACGTTTTACGACATGCAGGAGCGCCACACCTCCAACCAGCTTCCTCCTCTCTGCCTCTCTATCAGCTGATGTTGTTGGACGTTGCAGTTGTCGTGTTGGCAGCATGTGTCATTATTATTGCACTTCCTCTCTTTGTCATAAAGAAAGTAATTTCTCTGTTATGTAGAGGGAAAAAGAAAGTAATCGGTGAAAAGAAATATAAATGATTTTTCTCAAATTGTTTTTTGATTTGCCCCGAACTTAAGTGGTTTTAATTTGAAATCTGTAAAAAATGAGAAATTTATTTGGTCAGAACTAAACATAACATACGGTATTGAAAGCATTAAAAAAAAGTTTTGTTTGGTTACAGGTTGTGGGTTGATTAATTTGTTTGATTTTTTAGGTTTCAGTATGGTAACAGTGATGGTAGTTAAGAAGTCCTTTGATGCCTTACATTTTTTAACAGAATAGCCTACATTTTGAATGAAATAATAAAACACGTCAACTCTATTTCACACCTTAAATTATTTTATTGTTGATGTTTTCAATTCATGTTCCAGTACATATATTGTAAAATAAACTTATCAACTAAATCACATTATAAAAATTACTCTGCTTACTCCAAATGATTGCACTATGCATGTTTTTCAAACACATATTCTTTTTAAATTAAAAACACCCTTTATATATCCTAGTTCTGTACATTTACACTGTATTTACAATGCTAAATTCTACCTACGTAATCTAATACAGACTAAATTACACACAATTAATACAAATCCTTAATAAAATTTGGTTTAAATATATCACAATACATAATACATAATAAGCTCAGAGTGAGGAGTTCAATCACACTTGACTTTATTTCAGTTAAACATTTTAGCGCAACAAACAATGCAAATGTTGAAAAGTAAATTTTTGCATTTCCTAATTGAAAGGTAAAACAATATCAATCAACATATTTTAAAGCACACTGACATTATTAATTGTCACTAACTTATACAGAATCTACTTGTTCTAGCAGCTTCAACCCAAACTACAGCAAGTTATGACATCTAAAATATGAATACTGTACTAATTTTATGTTAAAAAATTAATTAGATTCAACTAGCCTATAGCATTCATTATGGCAGATAAATGCTTGGGGTTGAAATAGTCCAAAATTTAAACTTCAGGCTACAATATTTTCCTCAGATAAATTAACCTAAGTTGTACGAGATAGAAATCACAAAGTTTTCAGAATGTATTTTTTATAGATACCTAACTTAGCAAGAAACTTTTATACCAAATAGGTAAAAATCCTAGGAGGAGAGAAGTTCAGAGTATAGCTGTATCCCCATCCTAATCATTGGAGAACTATTTATACAATGGAGTTTAAATTTTCATTTCTACATATTTTGTGTGATAAACAGTATAAGCAGATTTTTTACTTTCATCAGTTTTACCCCTCTTCATTTTCTCGTCTCCATAATTATCTTACAATCGTAGGAATGACAAAATGTGTGAAAAAGGTATTAAATGATGAAAAATGTGCTAAAGGCATACATTTGTAATGTACTGTAATGTACATTTGTAATGATACTGTTTGTCACAAACCAAAGAAAAACAACAACGTCACCTTGGTGATTCACTAAATAAATCCCCATCAGTAAATAATGCAATTCAACTACTTTCATAGCAAAAAATCATTCTCTAAAAGATGTATTAACTGCTGCAAAACAGTAATTTAATAGCCAAACCATACCGGGGTGTCTTTGAAAACTAATTTAAATTTCAAGAAATATATCAACCTCATACCGGTATATTACATGGGTATTCTCAGGCAGAGGTTGGTTGCCGCAGAAGACTAAACGATGGGTGGAATAAGACAATTTCCCTTTTCTCATTGACGTGTCTGGTGCAGAACATTTGAATACGATAGCAAGCCTCAATGATCTGTGGTTGTGGAACAGTCAGAACTAGCCGTATGTAACCGGGATATCCAAAACACTGAAACAAACAATTTTATCTCATATCGCTAAAAGTAAAATTTAATTTTCAATACGGTAAAAAAAATTCTGTAGTCATTTTTTAAACACTGAAACAAACAATTTTATCTCATATCGCTAAAAGTAAAATTTAATTTTCAATACGGTAAAAAAAATCCTGTAGTCATTTTTTGTGGTGACTGCATTTAACACAATGCAAAACATACCATGCCTGTTACGATACTTAATGAATATCGGTAACATATAGGTTGATATGTGCAGGTGTGTTGAACGTTAGAACAGTGAACACCCAACCCAACTGCAAAAGTAGATGAAACATAACTTCCTTAGAAACAATGGACTCATCTCAATTGTCATCAACATGGTATGAGTAATTATTAGTTTAAATTAGGACAAAAGTCATACCGGTACAGTTGTTGTATTGATAGTCAAAGGTCATACACAGACTATCCCTATATTTAAGTTCTCCTACCTCTCCTGGTAAACAAAACACTGACTCTTCAGATACTAATTTCTCCACAAATTCGAGGGTTGAAGAAATCAATGGAAACTGACACAGGTTTACTCCAACCTGTAACAAAATAAGTAATGCAAATAAGTTGATGATTTATAATTTATTCAAATGTATATTCATTGTATATTGATATTGTACCAGCCACAAATTATCTTGAAGAATGAATTCCAAAGCCAAAATGTTGATCTAATTAAAACAGCTAAGCTAACTAAACATAATACAATCTAAAATTGATTTGGCATTCACTCCTCAGCTACTTGGTATTCAATTACTCTGTGGAAAGGAATCCTTTGGAAAAAATACATTCTATTACCCCAAATAAAGGTCACAATGAAGAAACTAGAATAGCAAAACAATTAAATTTGTATCCTGGAAAATCAAATGAAAATGGAAGCAGTCACCAAACACTACAGATGATATAATGTATTACTCACCATCATATACATTGCACCCTGAGGCATAGTAGGTTGTATTCCAGGAACTTCAGACAACATCTTAAAAGCAATCATAGCATGTGTCTAAAACATTAAAAAGATCATTTATGGCACAATGTCAACAATCTTTTTTTATAATTTGAAAGAAGTTTCCTTATCAAAGGTGTAATTCTCAAAATAATCCGACCATTTTGTTCAATTCCGACCAAGCGTTAACCATTTTGCTATGCAGCCTAGTTTGAAATTCTAGAGTATATTTTAATGACCTCAAACAAATTATGACCAATCAACGTACGAGTATATTTTTGTATGTAAATGTAGCCTTTATTTTAATTCCTCTTATTTATTCTACCAAAGCAAGTCCTTGGTATAGTTTTATCGTCTTATCAATCACAAGGTAAGCTATAGCATCTTTTAAAACAACTATCTCTCATCAAAATAAGGTAAAAAATAAATTTTAGACCACTAGCGGTGTCGAGATCTGTAACTGGATCACACAACTATGTTTGTTTTGTTTTTTTTCTTTTTTTTTTTAATGGCTACAGCTGGTCCATATAGATAGGATGCCTACTTCAGTATCCAAAAGTCAATGCTTTAACTCACATGTATCGTTTTTATCGTCTTGTCAAAGAACTGTTGCGGAGTGTGTTTGAGTATCCGAGGCAGAGCTCCCTGGACCAGAGTGTTGCTGCCAATGGTCCTCATACTCAAGTTCTGGAGGCCTCGGCGAATCTGTCGGGTTCAGATGTATTTATACGACATTGCATTAATACGACATAATTACGACAATTACAAGAACCTAATGTTGTAAACACGTGTTGCAACCTTAGTAATAATCAAAGTTCATGGCACTAACGTGGTAGTTTTAGGGAGTTTTGATTTATTGTTTGACTGTAAAAGTATTAACTTAGTTGCAAGTGTGTATGTATAGTTTAATCTACCCCTTCCTCTTTACCCTGGTATGCTGTTTGACCATTCCCCTTTCACCAGATTTGCTTACCAGTTTGATTAGAGTAGCAACAGTTTTTCATTTATTTTCAAAGAACTTTAGCTGTATAGTGGTGGACAAGGTAACGTTGATTAAAAGGTTGGGCCCATGCCCCGAGTTGGCTATCATTCAAGTTTGGGGATTGCTACCATATTACTCCTGCTTGACTGAGCTTGCACTAAAGAGTACTAGGGAGCCTAATAGCAAAAGTTAATTACTTTCTTCAAATAAAAAATGAAAATACAACAGTATGGGTTATTGTGGGGTCTCTAAAACTTTTGTTAGTTTGATAAAAAAATTTCACACAATTGGAAAATTTTTACATATTTGAATCTTGTATTAAGTATGATTATGTAAGAGTATAATATCCTTTACACGTTGTGAGAAGAGCACTGAGAGAAAACTAAAAATGTTTTTTTCCAAACAAGGGCAGTAATGTATGAATGGTTCTAAATTTATATCACAATCAACAACTTACCTCTTCTCCGAAGATATGTTGTCCATCATGGATGATTATCCAGCCCATTCTCCACCCAGGAATCAAAAATCTGCAAACAGTTGAAAGTGTTAAAACTTGTTAAAGTATATATACATTTTGAAGGGGCTATTTTTATCTACGGCCTCTCCTATGACTTTTGTCAATTTGTAGAAAATTTACTGAAAACTATGGTACTTAACAAAGGTACCTACCTAATAATTTTATACAGAATATCTATTTGCAAGCTACATTCAAGAAACAGTGGTTTAATTCACTTCCAATGCAACAGGTCTCACTTCCATAGTTAACCATCCGTAGAAATATAAGATATAAGAAGTATTAAAAACTAACTACTCTAATCAAATCATATTTTACCAACTTTCAGTATTAGTAATACCCCGCCGCAGTAAACCTGCAGACTAAGCAAATTTCGTTGTTTTTGGCCTCTAGGGACCTCAAAACGAAAAAAGTAAATCGGTCCCGGGTACAGACCTTACCATGAGTACTACGGTAATAGTTTATTCCCTATATGGGAAATTCGCTAAAAATTTGCTTATGAATTAAATTACCTTTTAGTGAGTCCACTGCAAGACAATATTGGTACATTACTACCAAGGGAGGCCAGTGGATGGTATTTGTTGCCAGGGAAAACCTGAAATGAAAAAGCGATTGAGTAGTTTTATTAGATATTGTTACAATAATTCAAAGTTCAAAGCAATTGCGACAAAAGGCGTTTAAGTTTCTTCCTATATAGCGAAATTCTTTATTATAGTGAAATTCTTCCTATATAGCGTTGCTTTTTTCTGTTTTTTTTACTAGGTCACAGTCCAAAGGTTGGTCATGATAAAGAGAGTAACAACTTTATCTAAAACTAACATTTGTTAGATAGCATAATTAATTAATAGCTCAGCTCAATTACAGATTGCATCTAGAATAATTGATTCTCCTCGGGATCAAAACAGCAACCCTCAGATTTGATGGCCATCACCAGGATCATTAGGTACCTACCTATCTTACCCTTGTCTTCATTATACCCACAATAATAATAAATCTCTTAGTATTAAACCTATATCCATCCAGTATGTGTTAGTTTACTACTCAGAAGTCTTCGATAAGCTAAGTAAACTGTAAGCTCTCTTTACCAGATGTTCGTAGATCTCGTCTGCTATGATAGGTACCCTCTGCCGCTCTGCCACTCGCAGCACTGACTCCAGATGTTGCACTGTGTAGACAGATCCGCACGGGTTTGACGGGTTGTTGACCACAATAGCCACTGTGTCTCGGTCTATCTGTCTCTCCAAGTCTTGTGTGTCTATCTCCCAGTTGCGATCTGGCTGCAGCGTCAAAATCATTAGATGGTGTATAACAAATTGTACAAAAACTTTTAATAATTGCCGTTCTTTACTGTAAATGAATCTATTGTAGGATATAATATATGCAATTAGCGACACATTTTGTGTACCTATATTATCTGGATATGAATGCTGAGTGAGTATAGAATGGAATAAGATTACCTATAGAGCTGTGTTAGTATTATCAATTATCGATCAATTATAATAAAGTAATTGTCAACTATTGAGATGGGGACGCCACCTAAGTAAGGCTAACATAGGTGCATATTTTAACCCAAATATGAACATAGGATGGTGTGAGATGATCTGTGTAGCTTTGACTAAGATCAGCTGTTTCATTAGTCAGGATCATTTATTTAAAGCCCAATGATCAGGAAGGAACAGCCAAGTAGAGTTTCGAACCATCAAAAAGCTACTGACTTTTCTCAGGATCTTGATCAAGGATTAATCGCCTCAATTTAAATAGCATTAGAAAATAAACTGAGACTTAGCATTTTACTAGGGGTTCTCACCATCAATTTGTAAGTCTTGACGTTGATGCCCAGCCCCTCGGCCAAGGTGCGGTAGATGGAGAAGCCTGGACAAGGCACCAGGATAGTCTGGCCTGGGTTGGCCAACACTGTTATACACAGGTCTATAGCACTGGAACACCCACTGCACAGCACTACGTCCTGGGTAGAACAAACGTTATCAGAAACTGACTGTACTATCTACCAAATATATAAAGTACATGGCTGTATCTTTTTTTCTCAACACTTTCACTAAATATGACTAAATGTACATATGAATGGGCCTACGTCAAACAATTGCTAGATTGATTTTAATTTGTTTGTTTTGTAGTATTGGCTTTTCCAAACCAATTACTTTGAATACTGTAGTAATTTCCTGAAAGATGTGCAATTGGATATGGTTTTCATTGTAGATAGAAAGTGATCCCTACATAAATTTTAAATTTGATAACAATTTTAGAGATCGGTTTAGTAAATTTATTTTACCATGACTTTAAAATGTTACCCATTTAAATTTATTAATGTGGTACGGCCAAATAAAAAATTAAAATGCTATGTAACATTGATTAAACTATTATAAATCTGGCTAAGGTGCTGTAATATAAATACCTATTTTGCATTTTTAAATGTTTAAGAATAAATTTACAATAGCAACCTACCTCAGGTTTAACAGTCAGGCCTGAATGAGAGGAATAATCAGCAACAGCCTGTTTTGCTTCCTGGTATCCTGAAAATTAATTCATAGATTAAAAACTAACAAGCTTCACCCCCTTTGGGTTGGGTAAAAATGTCAATATACTACTTAGTAATAGCAGGATTTAGATCATAACCTTCCTCAGAAACATTGCAGTAATACACAATGGCTTGAATACACAATAATACAAGAAGTAAGTTAAATTTGTTCACTGAGGAGTTTTAACTACCCAGCAGTAAAATTACAGTATTGGTTCAAATTCAATTATTGAAAAAAGTCAATATTTTTATCTTTAAATATCAATTAATGTAACTTAATTGTTAAAATACGCACATAGTGGGGTCCCCAGCTTAAATGATTGATTTATTGATAAGTGTGTTCTTACTCTTTCGCTGAATACACCCTCTGTGCTGACATGATGGTATCTCTCACCTGATGCAGGAGCGTACCCGTTGTATCTCTGACTATGTAGACTCTCCTCCACTGCCTCTATCACCTCCGTCGGCGGAACTAAGTTCCCGAATACCGTTGGGTCACCTACATCAATACAAGAACAAAATTTAATATGTATTAAATCATTGGTTAAATCATTGGCCAGAAAGAATAAACTGAGATTTGGATATTACAGTATTAGCCAAAATAAACAGTACTTAAATACTTTTAATGGTAATACTTTTATTTTATGTATAAATTTTAACAATACATATAAGCCAAAGGAAGCAAAATCGGCTAAACACGGGTAATAACATGTTCAATATGAGCCCCGTTCAGTTTGAGGCAACACTCGTACCGTTCTTGTAGGTTTTGCACCATTTTTATGAATAGGGGTTTTTCCATTCTCCTAATACACATGGTTATTTTTTCTTTGAGTTGAACGATGGTAGATGGTGGGTCCTCACGGAAGATGTTTTCTTTCAACATTCCCCACACTTAAGCATCCGGTGTTGTAAGATCGGGGGAGTGGGCTGGGTAAGGAAAGTTTGTTCTAAGGGAGATGAGACGGTTGCCAAAGGTTTGTCGGAGGAAAGCAATGTTGTTAACGGCAGTGTGACTGGTTGCGCCATCCTGCTGGAACCACTGTGAACCTAACGGCAGGTTTCGTGCACGACAAAATCTCCTGAAGTCACTCACAAAACGATCAAGAATGGCCCTATATCGATCCCTATTCACAGTAACAGTCTCTCCATTATTGCCTTCAAAAAAGTATGGTCCCACTATACCCCTCCCTGACACAGTGCACCAAATGGTTACACGTTTACTATGCTGTGGCCTCTCTACAACAATGTCAGGACGTTCAAATTCAAGGAAACGTGTTGTCTGCTTGTTTATGTAACCATTAAGGTGCACATGACATTCATCTGTAAACCATACATCACTCAGAAAATCAGGTTCTTCATAGCATATTGCTAACATTGAAGCACAGTACTGAACTCTGGCTAGTTTGTTTATACGATCCAATGGTTGTCCAGTTTGTATCCTGTAGGGAAAACCACCAATATTTTTGAACATTCTTCTCATTGACGTATTGCTAATATTCAGTTTAAGAGAAGCTCGCATTAGACTTCTTTTCGGTGACTGTAACACTTGCTGCAACACTCTTCCGTGGTTTTCATTTGTACAGACAGTAACTGGGCGACCTGAAAAGCAATTTCGCTGTGTCAAAACACTACCAGTTCTTCGAAATTTTTCGACAACACTAAGAATCACAGCATTACTAGTCGGGTTTTTGTGGAAATGTTCCTGAAAACGTAAAGCAACAAGCTTGGACCACCCGCACGTCCAATTCCGTATGAGCGAAAATAATGCTCTACGATAAAAGTTTTTTCTAAAGTTGTTAGCACCATGTTAACAAAAACTAACCTCAAATAAGAAAGAAGTAATGAACGCAAAGCCGTGGCAACAATCACCTATTGGATCAGCTGATCGAGAAGTCAACTACAGCTGATTCAGTTTCAGTACTGTTTATTTTGGCTAATACTGTAAAAGGTAAGGTAGATTGTCCACAAGTTGAGAAGACCCAACCACACTGACATCATCAAAAGACAAGGACTTACGATAAGAAGCCAACCGCAAGAATTGAAATTAGATCAAGTAAACTTTGCAAACAAAACATTTAAGGTTCTTGGGAGGGGATTGATGGTAGCCCCCCCCCCCCAAGGGAATACATCAAATAGGGCAAGTAATAGATACCACCATCTTTAGGCGAAGTGTGGTGCCTTTCGCAACTTTGTGATGGTAACAAAATAGCTTGAAACTTAAGAATGAATGTAAGATTCAAAATAATTTCAAAATATTCAAAATAACTATTACCATATAGTCAATGCTATTACGCGCTAACTCCAGTTGTAAGGACAGGATAGCATCTCACTGTCCTCCAGTTATAAATTAAAAACCTTTATAAACAAACCTTAAGCCAAAGGAGTTTTTTTATTTACAACTATTAATTTATATTTATACTTATAAATTATTTATAGTTATAGTATAGTTATAATTATAAATTATGTTTTATTTAGTTACCTATAATTTATAAGGTTTATAATAAATATAACAGCTGGCTCATCAGCTGTTATATTTATTTCTTTTCTTTTTTTGATGTTAACGATTTTCGTTGCCAAAGTGACCCACAAGGCTCACTGTTAAAAGTGTTTGACATTTAATTTCATTGTTTTTTGTAATTCGATTTTTGTTGGCAATTTTAACTGCATGAAAACAGGGTTTAGGCCAGAAATAAATAATTCACAACATTTGAAGAAAATAGTCCAAGCAGTTTTCGTGATCTTTGTGCAAGCAAGGATACATACAAGCAAATATTGCTCATATAAGAGTAAAAGTAAAAGAGAATATGATTTATTATTATTATTATAACAACATATTGTAGAAGAAAAAAAACACTTTCTAGTTTTTTTTTTATACTTTTAAATGGTGAAACAGTCTTTTATTTTGATAGTGATGTTATTGCCTGCACTTAAATGGTTGAAAATTCAGTTTGAAATAGTATATTTATCACCAAGGGCCGAAAATAAGTTTTACAAGGCTCCGAAATCGAATTTCAGACGAATGTTAAGAACGTAAAAAGACCGAGAGCTGTTGAAACGTTTTTTTAAGCTTGTTATGAAATTGTTATTTGTGTTATTTGTTATATGTATTATAAAGTGTTATTTTCTAAGAACAAAATTATTAGGTTTGTCAGTTTTTGTGGGGAGGGGCTTGTAAACATCGACATCTGTAGACAATGTACCTATGTAGTATATCAGTGTAAAATTAGAATGTTTTAACTAAATAAATAAAAACGAACAGTTAGTTTAGACTATGGTCTGATGTACGATTATTTTGGCAATCAAACTACTTTAGTTGACAAAATTCCTCGGCAAACGAAATGTTATAGATGTTCAAAACCTAGTTGATTGCCAAAACTATCGTTTTGCAGGCGCACGAGACTGTGAATGGTTTAAATAAAAATTATTTCTAGCTCTCTACCAACACATGCAAATTCAATATGTTTGGATAACATTGCTCTTTCAACGTAATCCTAGGAAAATAGAAAATGTCAAAACCTTTTAAAAATCAATATCAGTAATGACTGTACCTATTATTTTTTTACAAAATGCCATATGACGTCAGGGAATTTCAAATTTAAATTACCACATACTTAACTATGCTTAAATACTTGTTTTGAAACTTGATTAGAAGTTTTTCATAATCAATGGTCTGTGTTTATTGTTTAAACCAGTATTACCATACTCCGTAGTCTGTTCTACCTGATTAAAACTAAAACACTATTAATAAGGATCTACATCAGTACTTACATACGGTATCATATTTTCATTATTAAAATCACATGCAATTTAATTGTTTATATTTATGTTGAATCTATTGTCATCTTAGGTAACCATTATTTCCTGCTTTTCTATAATAAATAGGTACTCTGATTTAAAAATGTCTCGAAGAAGATCGCTGTTAAGTCTAAAACGATTCTCAAAGTATGTAAGAGAACTTAGGAAAAGGAAAATAAAGAATTTTTTCTCCAGCAAAGATAGTAACTTAAAAAATGTTGTCAAATTACCATCAGGAGAAGGGAAGAATCTGAAGAATGGGTGCAAAGGGAACATCAAAATATTGGTGGAAACAAGAAGCTGTGGTATGAATAAATCATGAAACTGTTAATTGATGAATATTTAGTTCTTTTTGCTTTGCTTATTTGAACTCGTGAACTCTGTAATTAGTTTTGGCCTGAATGTCTTAAAATAATAAATTTATGTTAGTTCCCATAGTCTATAATTCATACAGTCTATATTAAATAGCCTATAAGACTATTAGACTTAATACCTCAAAATTAGACTTCTATTTAGGCTACAGTACTGGTACTTTAACTTGGGAGTAGAACTACTTTAGGCTTGAAAGTAGAATACTGTAGCCTATCTTGGATTTGAAAATTCGTAAATACACAGTATAGCCTTTACTTGAGGTTTTAAAATTTGTAAAGACGATGAAGGTGAAACTATATGTAAAGAAAACTCCTTTATCTGTTAAAACAATCGTCAAGTGAGTATATATGTCCGGTGAATCTATAGAATAGTGTGCTCTTTTAGGTGTAAAATAATTCCTCATTGAATATACTTTAGTATGAATGTAAGATTCAAAAGAATTTAGTGAAATAATAAAATAAAGTACCATGAGGACGGAGCGTTGCTCGGCTTTCCAACTCAATAAACTCAACGGTGCCGCCGGTTTACTAATTACGCACTAGCTCCAGTTGTAAGGCTAGCATCTCACTGTCCTCCAGTGATAAATTAAAAACCTCTTTTGGTTCTCTTTGGATCTATTAGTTAAAATTTTAGAATAAAATCCAGGGTTCTTGTAGCTTATATTTAAATGGTAAAGAAATAGAAACGGCGGTCATATATAATTCACTTATTCAGGTTGCTATCTTTTAGTGAATGGCTAGGTCGGCAAATTCCAATGGTACAGTTCCGTTATAAAGCACAGTAGTGGGAGGAAATTGTATCCTGTGTACTTAAAACTTGTTGTCAATATCCTTTATTAAAATTTATTTTAATTTTTTATACAGCAAAAATCGGGAAACTCAGCTCCCGCTCCTTAGCCATTTAATTTAAAAGTTCCAGGGCAAAAATTTGATAAAAATCCCCTCGATAAAAACAAAATCAGTACACGCTTAATGAACACTACACTCAACAACTATTTAAGGTGTAAGGTTCCTTTAACACTAATGTATGTGTTAAGTTAAGCAAATGTGTATTAGCAGACCGTTGCTTCTTGTGTGTATTAGCTTCTTAAAATTTACTTGCTTAGAATAAGTATGGCATTAAAAATCATGCCGAAAACAGCACCTTCGGTCAAAGGGTCAAATGTGCTTAATGAGTTTATCAATGAATACAAACTGTTGGTATTCATTGGCACAACGCACATTATACCACTACTTCCCTCTTCTCCTCTCCTCCCTGTGTATAATGTAACTTATTTTTCTCAGTAGAAGTGTTTCCCTACAGTCCTACTCTCTGCTTGATCTAGTTTATTTATCAGTCCAAGAATGTGTTTATCCTGTTCCTGCGGCTCGGTGACGATCCTGGTATATACTGGCAGATCGCCAGAGGAATCACGCCACCAACCTGTCTCAAAACTGGTCTTCTGCGAGTCATTTATACATTTAATTTGCCCCGATGTTTTCGCTGACTTCTGCAAACACTGCGTTTCAGCCTATTTCCACTTGGTTCCGTTTGTTGTTTACACTCAAAGTGTTATAACTTTGGAAATTCTTGACACCCCTTGGCAAATTAGTAATGTCAATCTCCATTTACAACTACGAGTTAACACTTTCTTAGAAGTGCTACCCTTTAAACCCCAGGGAAATTAAAAAATGAAATGAAGTTCCTTACGTTCAATGAAGTTCAAAATTAACTTAATTAAGTTCCTTAATTATTATTGGTTTAGATTGGTGTAGTTCTACTTTGGTGTTAAATTGTGGGTCTTTGCACTTGAGCATATTATTCTAGAGGCTTTGCATTATTAGCATATTATGATACGAGTCCACTGAACTCGAAAAGCCAAAAGTAAATCTTAAAAGCTGTTTCTAACTCCATCACATGGTTCTCTGCTTTCTGATAAAATTCTACAGGGCTTTTGTATCTTTGATCATATCTTTTCCTAATGATATCTTAAAAGGTTTAATTGAACCAAACGACAGTCAATAGTTCTTCACACTCGTTTTTAACATGGCTTGCAGAATATCATACACGCTGAATATCCAATGGCAGTACAGTTGTTCAAGTTTAATATACAATACAAACGCAGATAAACTATTCTGCTTTAGAAGGAGTGTAGAGAAGAACTCAAATCGTGGGATATCATTAGTATACGTAACTAGATTTGGATTCGAACATTTCCATTCGTCCGTTTACAAGATTTGGGAAGAATTTGATGAGACCGAATAGTGTATTGACCTTGGCAATGGACCAGGCCGACTCCGCTAGAATACCTTATCTTATGTAAGACTGGTGTTATTCCTAAATTTGTTTTCCACTCTTACTTAAATGTTTTCACTTCCTAACTAAGTTACATAATTCGTCTGTGTTAGGTAGTTTTTAAAGTGACCAAACTATAGATTAGATTGTAAAGATCTTGATATCTATCATTGAACGGGTTTCTTAACGCATCGATACTATTCCTCCCCAATGCGTATCTAGACAATCACCGAAATATATTGGGAAACGCGTATATGAGTAACCATATGATAATACCTACAACAAAATCATTCAATGAAAGTTTGTTTTTGTTAGGATTTATGTTTAAAAATTATTTTAAAAACACGTTTTCTATCAAAATACATTGAAAACGGGATTTTAACATTTTTTATTTGGGAGCAACTATTGGCTACCTTTGTTGAGTATTTTCAAGAAATGCGTAATAATAATTTGTTGGAGATTTTATTCTCTTTCAGAATATCACTTTCCACTTAAGTAGATTTCCTCACCATTTGTAAAATATCGAAGCAACCTTCGATTTTATAGTGGTAAAAAAAAATACTGAATTGGAGATTTTTTTAATTTACACAACTAAATCTACAGTTCTACTGGACATTTGTTATTAGTTATTATAAATGGAAGCTTCATCCGTGTATATTTGCAAAACTTGTGAAAGTTTAATTTGTTAAAGATTTATGGAAATAATGGGTTTGCCGGTATGCATAATCTGATCATATGGAACATGTGTTAAATTTAACAGCTGATCTTTGTATTGTTATTTCCTTAACTTTTCATTGTTTAAATTTTGTTGTTTACATTTTTTTTTTAGCATTATTATGTAGCTTACAATTTTTTCAAGAGACTGTTGTATTTAACCACAACGGGCTCTGTTGCTAGTAATTATGATAATTCAATAATCCGTTGTTACATCATTATAATTACACGGTGGATCGATTTAAAGAGACAGTAAAGACAACATATATATAGGCATACAAGAAAAATACGAGATACATTCAAGATAAAAACAGAAACATACATAAAAACAATAATAGAAGTTTTATACCTTCTAAAAAGGTTTTAGAATGTCTATGTTAAATGGTTTAAGGTTAATATTCGTAGGCCTAAAACCATAAAACCAGAAGACAGCGTTAAAAAGGCAGAACAATTGATTAGTTTTAACTCTTTAACTTTAACTTAATTAATTTTAATTTTAACTATGTGGACTATCCTACCTTTAACTACATGGAACAGAAAAGTTATGGATCATAAATTAAGCAAATTACGTCACTGGTCCGAAAGTAAATATGTTTGTATTAATATTAACACGAAACTGTAAAATACCCCCGCCGCAGCAAACCTGCTGTCCAAGCGAATTTCCATTTGGCTGAATTGATTTTCAATCGATCTATTTAAATAACATTAGGTTTAACAAGTACCTAGGTTTGCTGCTACAAGGAAACTAATAAAGTGCGTGTTTTAAGTAAAATAATTATTGCTTAGTATAAAATGAATATATTTGCCAAGTTTTATCAAAAGATATCCATAAACAAGCAAACTACAACATTTTACAATATTCTCCATAAGAATAACATGGGAATTTTTAATTTACAGTTTTTTTAGTTTTCTCCGTAATCAATAACCGTACAAAAACACTTTGATATACTGAATTGTTTGTTTTTTTAAGCTCTTTAAGAAGGTTTAGAGAAAAATTGGGAAATTTAGTGTTTTGAGGGTCAAAAGTGAGAAAAACCTATTTTTACCCCATAAAACCTCCCATAAAACCCTGTTCCCATGGTCCGATCATACTGGATCGCGAACTCATTCAAGTTTATCCCGCCTTACACCTTCAAACCAAATTTCATCAAAATCGGATACAAATTACTCAAGTTATCGTGTTCACGGACACATATATATATAAATCTATATATATATATATATATATATATATATATATACATATATAAAAATTTGAACGAATGGTGTTTTTGGCCTCTGGGGACATCAAAATGAAAAAGTAAATCGGTCCTGGGCCTAAGTCTTACCATGAGACCTACGGTAATAGCTACTTCCCTATAGGGAAATTCGCTAAAACGCACAAACCATCTGCTACGACTAATTAATACCGAACAGTATATAAATTCGGACCAGTGGCGTCATTTATTTATACATGCCGTTTCTGTTATAACATTTTGTTGATCTTACACAACATTAAGTTACGTACGCACCATCCAAAATATGCTACGGGTTTTATTATTTTTGCTCGGGTTACACAAAAATTTTTATTAGTTGCACTGGTCGAAAATTATTTTTTTAGAAGTCATTAGTATTAATAGTGATGGTTTGTTGACAAATGGCAACAATGACATGGCTACCAAACTCATACCGCCAGACTCGCCAGTTCAGCTTGCTCCCTGTTCCGTAAAGAGAACGTCGAACTTTCATCTTGACCTCGACAGTCAAAACTTTAAATTTAATGAATATTTTATCTTCCCCCCTTAATTAGGATCCATACTATATTAGTTTCATTCAACCTTTATGTTTGCAGACTGAAGAATAAAAGTATATAATAACATTACCTACTTGATTAACATTTAAAAATGGTACTGCCCAAGAGAATTAAAGTGTATTAGAACTGAGTGTAGTGTATTAGTATATTAGAACTAAGAGTGAAAAAATAATTACTGGACACTAAAAAAATTGACGGTATATTGTTATAATACGAAACTGCGCAACAAAGGTAGTGGTGAATGTATTTTCAATTTAGAAATATCACCAACCTATAGTTAAAAATCTTCACAATTATTAAAACGTCCCACCGGAAGTTGTATATGATAATTTGTATATATTTCCATTAAAAACATTCACGTTGCTGTCTTTGTAAAGCGATAGGTGATTTGATTTTTAGTTTTTAAATTTTCTTCCCATGAAAGAATACCGAATACCATATACCATAAACAAAATATAAAATAGGTAAACTAAACTATAAAATCGTGATAAAATATTCTGCTAGAATAAACTAAAATTCCATCCATATATACCCAAATAAATCGATTGCTGTCCAAAACGATCCAATATTTACCTATTGACAGCGCGATCAATTGCTTGTCGGGATGCGGTTGTATGTGCAACCCCTCCACAATGGCGCGTATAGGGTTGTGCGTGTTGCGCGCGACACTGCTAGCGCACACGGACCACGGTTTGGCAGGAACGGACATCTCAACACCACTTCTGGCGGGAACCATTCCGTGGCAGACTATATCAGCTGTGCTGTGGATCACGTGGTACCCGCTAGACCGGTTGATTCATTGTTGCGTTGATGTTGATTGGGCGCAGTAAGGATCAACAACAGGTTGTTTTGTGGCTGTTGTTTGTGGAAATGGTGATTACAATGTTCAACTTCTATGATTTCATGTTGTTGGTTTCAAGTGATAAACATAAAAGGCCTACAATGTTATTACTTCAATTAACTTAATTCCAATCCTACCACTTTTGCATTGAATTCATTTGATATGAAACGGTGCTCCAGCGTTTCTAAATACACTGTTTACTTTTTTAACTTTTAATTTTTAGTTGTTTAGTACATAACACAACTGCAACAGTACTTTTCTAGCATTAAACTAGGGGTTCTTTTGAAAATGTCATTTGTTTTAGAGCCCTCTGAAGATGCTTTAAGGCTTCAATCTTCTCAGCTTCAATATTTCACTTAAGACAATCTCTTAAAATATTTATATGCATTATCTTTTCTATAAGAAGGGAAAACATATTATAGTTATTTGTGTCCCATGGTGGAAGGAAAATACATACGTGTGCTATTCCTGTCATATGCTGACATCACCCAGATTGCAAACACCATTTCACCATTTAGAAAAAAAAATTATATAAACAATAACAATCAAATCAAAACAAATATATACTTATATGACAATACAATCAGGTGATTTTTTGTTTGCTATCTGGGTGAAGTCAGCATATGAGGGGAATAGCACACTTATGTATTTTCCTTCAACTATGGTGCGAGTGCGAAGTGGTACTTTAATACTTTTCTTTGAAATGGTGACCATACAAAGGTAGGTATTTTAAGCCAAGTTTGAATGGAGATGAGTGTGGAATGAGTGAAAATGGTATGGCAATTCTCCACTTTGCTGCACATAAGAGAAATGTTTACGTACGAGCCGCAGGCGAGTGTTGAAAGTTCCTTGAGTGCAGCAAATTCACTTTGCACTAATGAACTCGCGTTACACATTAAATCGTATAAACGTTTTAGGTTAAATCCAAGCGTTGAACGAAATAGGAAACGCTGCACCATCTGATTGTTGTAGTAGTAACTTCAAGTTTTGCCAACTATTTCCAAGCGAACATATATTACATAGCTAATAAAAGCACACAGTTTTGAGTTGTTTGGTTGGAATACTGGAGTGCGGCAAAAAAGATGCGTGTGTCAAAAGTAAGTAAATGCAGCAAATAGCTACTTTGCGTCCTATAATCAGAGCAAGGAAGCCCAATTTGTCAGGTGTAACTGTAGGAAAATATTATTTACCGGTATGTAGGTTACCGTAATAGGGGTTGTCTGCAAGCTTCAGTTCAGTGAAATGTAACAGTAAACCTGAAATGTTCACAAGATAATAGAAATAACTCATATTGGGCTATAAAAAAAACAGGGATACATGTTTATCTTTAGCAACTGAGTCAGTCTGTTCCTCACTTCTCAGTTCCAATCATCTTGCCAGTCGGTTAAGAACGGCTTAAGTGAACAAAATGGCAGAGTTGAGGGGTTCTAAATGTTCATATCTGGTGTTAACTGGTACATTGGTTTACCCTGGTGACCAACCAAATCTTGCACTGACTGAAAGACTTCCAAAAATCGAGTATCCAAGACTGGAAAATTGCCTGCCCGGCCTCTGACATCAATATGATGTAGAATCCTATTTAGGTAGATGGTAGTCTTCCATGTGTAGTATATTGGCAATCCATATCAGGGAGTCCCACACCTGAGTCAAAAAAATGTAACTAACCCCTCCTAAATAATAAATGTAAAGTAACAGCAAGCTTTTTTACATTTGTATGTGTTTGTCATTTGAAACTTGAAAGCGTAGGAGCCCTCTTGCAATGATCTTTGTTAAACAAGGATGCATCAATACTCAACCTGGATGAAGTTAATAAAGACTAGCTAGCCTATTTGGGTGTATCCAAAGTATTGGAGAAGTTTTCTCAGCCTGCGCCTCTTAAAGATCTTTTGAAGCAGGGTTATAGCTTGTATGTTTAATTGTGAAGGAAAATAAGCACAGTAAAATATTTCAAAATAACATTTATATTATACTAGCCTATCCTGGGGTTGATGTATTATGATTACAGTTACAAACATATTAATCACATACAACCTTAAAATTTTATTAATTTAAGTATTTATTACTTAAACAAAAGATAGATGATACATCTTAATTAAATACCTACTCCTTAGCCCTTATTCAGTTTATCTAATGTTATGCATAACCAAAAAAGTTAACAAAACAAACACCATTATATCGGATTTCCCTCACAACTTAGGTGGTCTTCAGTTTATTTATTTGGGTAGATTCAAGTTGAGCTGTGTGGGGAGAACACTGATGTCTTGTGACTGAGACAGCATCAACTCAGCTTCCTCAGACTCTTGTCTTGCCTTCTCCTTCTGGTACCTGGATATCAGCTGGCTGACAGAGCTACTGGAATACTGAAAAGAGAAATCAGTGAAAAATGAACATGTATACAGCCAAACTATGAAGTCAAAGCCAAAACATTACTTATATCAAGTTAGACTTATTCTTATAACACCTTGTTTTAAGGAATAAGTTTACTTAAGTAGAGCTTTGTTTTGTAAATTGTATGAATCAACTCTCCTAAAACAGTAATAGAAATAGTGACAAGAAATATTTAATGTTAAAACAATAGTCATATGGATAGGCATGGATTTTTTTTCTGGAATAATTAGTTGTTTCAATGTTGCTAATGTAATGTTTGCAAAATATAATGTTTTTTTTCGATGGATACAATGAGGTTATAGTTCACTCAGAATTTTTTTCCAACCAATAATTTTGTATTCACTGATAATACCTACCAATCTATTTTTACAACTCTGGAATGGTTAAACATTAAATTAGAAAAACCCTTTGTTTTACAAACTCACATGAGGACCTAATGGTAAACCACAGAGTAACATAGGATACACTCCATGGCACACAAGTGGTGTCTAGCACTAGTGCTGGTGTCTAGAGCAAAGTTCCGCACGCCACCTTCTCCCCCCCCCCCCTTAGTCACAAGTACAGTTCCGCCACAACATACCAGATTTGAAATCGCACAGTTGTCCCATAAGCGTGATTCCTCTGTACCTTGCTTCTCTGTGGGTAAACGAAAAAGTAAGACAGAGAGTTAGTAGGCCTAGTATTAAAAGTAAAACCCTAAAACAATTGTGTAGGCTATAAAAGAAATCCCACCTTGAAACTTGGAGTTGATAGAGTAGTAGAAAAGGATGAAACAGGAATATTTAAATCGCTGATGCTGGTCTTTTTCTCTGGTATCGCCTTTGAATCATCTTTATCTTTGATCTAAAAAATACAAACAAGGGTCAGAAGGAGTTCAAGTACCTTGGAGTAAGATTTATAACAACAACTCACCTGGAATATTCACCTGTAATACCTCGGCCCTAAGGAACGTTTTTCAGACCACCTTCTAATGAGAAAAAGGGTAGTCAGATGTACACAGGGATTCACCCTAAGGTGGCGACCCTATTGATAATTGATAAGTTACAAACAAGGATTGGAAGAGCAGTTTAGTGTTGTATTGTATCCCATGGAGCAATAAGTCACCGTAGCAAATTTGCAGAAGGTGAAGCAAAATTCAACTGTGCCTATTGTGTACAGATTTCTTACAAGCTTTCTGTCAACAAATAAAGTTTATTCAATTTGATATTGCCATTAACAGCTCTAGCAGTTGTGTTGATTTCTAAAAAATGGTAAAATTGTCCTCTTTTTTGGTAGTAATTCCTATGTTGTACCATACCCCGACGCCTTAGAATTTATGGGTTAATAATTTGCTAAGACTTACCTGTTGGTCCACATAGTCGGTTTGGGTAGCAGTGCTGCTAACCTCTACCTTGTCAGCCTGACAGCCCACATCTATAGCTGATGTCAGATCTGTCTGTACACTACAGTCTGTACATCTTTTGCTGTCTCTGTTCATCACATCTTGCAGGCGAGCCTCCAAATCTCTGAGACAAATTATATAATTTATTAAGCTATTACATAGTGTACATTTACTATAGTTAAGCCGCTTAGAAAGGGACCTCCTCCAGCATTGGTTTAGCATTAGCGCGCAGGTCGTTTTCTAAGCGGCCGAACTATAGTAGGCATCTCTTACAAAAAGTCTCAATGTTGCAATAATGTTTATGTCCATCCTATACCAGGAACTATTTTACACTTTATTCCAGACTAGAACTGAAGAATTCCTTTATGATTATATAGCTAAAGGTAATTGGTATTGGGCAGGATTTGAAACTGGAACCTCAGGGTCCAAAGTCTGCACACTTCCACAACACCAGCTCAATTCCCCGATGTTGTTTCTGTAGTTGTATAGTACGTATATTTCACTACTAGTAACGAAAGTTACCCATTTTGGGGCGAGATAGTGTTTTACATGCGAGTCGAAGAACACTGAGCTCCAAAATGGGACATTTGTGACGAGTATTGAACGATACTTTTTATCAGGATGAAAAAAACCACTTCATCAAACTTAAAACTTTAGTTGTAACTTCAGTTGTACTTTGTTGATGTCACGCAAAGTATTGTTTGTGTAGCGAAAGTAATATTTATGTCAGTAAAAGTCAGCTGACACTATTTGTTTTTGGTGTATGGAAATTGAAGATTTTTAAGATCTTAGCTGTCTGAAAATGGGCTATTTTCGAATACAGAGTGATGAAAAATTTTTCATCACTCTGTATTACTGTTCTGTATTCTGTATCACTCTGTAACAGTCGTAATAACTGTTGGAATTTCAATTACTGTATCTAGACCAACCTTTTTTTTGTAACTGCATTTAATTTTCACAGGCTGCAATTAATGGCTGGGTATTAATCACCCCATAAGCCATTGTAAGTTGTAAAAAAGTGTATGGACTAGATAACTGTAGAGCCAAATTGGATTTTAATACAATAACTTCAATAAGAAGAGTCTGAAGGATTAGGGAAACCTCTTGTTATTGAGGTGCTCCTCTTGTTGTTTTTGTTGTTTATAAATGAGTACATTTCAAAACAATGCTTAGGCTAGGAAGTGAATTTTTTGATTATAATTTATGATACAGTTTTGTTACTATTGTGTAACACAGTTTAAACACAGGATGTGTTAAGGTGTTTTTAAGGGAGTTTTAAAAGCACACTTACTGTTGTGTTAATGAGGGGGGTATACACAAGTTTATACTGTAATACATTATCCATAAATGTTTGTATTTTTACACAGGATTAATTTTTTATTAAATAACTACAAAAAATATTGACAGTTTCATTTTTTTTTTTTTTAACATGTGCCGTAATTTGCTGTCAACAGCAAAAGAATCTAAACAATATCTCACCTTACTTTATTGTTTGCTACTTCTTCAAACCGTTGAAGTTTTAACATATCTTTGAGGGCCGTGTCCAAAGATTGATGAAGGACTTCTGATTCCCTCTCGTAGTTTTTTATCCTCATACTCATTTCATTTGTTGAATTTTGCCACTGAAAATTTTGAATACCACTAAGTTTTCAAATATAAAAGTGCAAACTGAAAATTTATCTGCTTGGCTTTTAGATAGAAGTAGACAAAGATGTGGTACATTAATATTCTGTATAATTAGTATATAAGAAGCTTCCCTTAGAATCATGCCCTTGACTATTGGATGCTAAGTTGTATGATTGCAAAGTTAGTCATAGTAAAATATATGATAATGATAAAATTGAAAAGAAACTATAGCCAACGGCCAATGAATAATCAACAAAAACTCATGCCTATTGAAGACTTATAATAAATTATACTGAGTGCTACACAGAAACGCCACTAACAAACCTTGGTTTTAAAATGATCCTCAATTCATCTTATTTTTGACATAACACTCACAAAGTTGAAAACATTTTCACTGCAATCTGATAGTTAAAAAAAATATGCCATGTTTGAAATTATTTATATATTTTTAACATAATTAAATGAACTTGAAATATATACCTCTTTCATGATATCTCTCACATAGGTTTGTTCAACTGGCTTATTTGTACTCTCGTTTAGCTTCAAAGTTTTAATTTCACCTAAAAAAATAAAACTTAGATATTTATAGCAAAAAATAATATGAAACCACAGAGCACTACTGTTTGGAGCATAGAGTATGCATAGAGTGCTACCCATATTGCTGTAAAAGTCAAGGTTTACAAGTTTTTACAACTTTTGTTGTTTTTCCATTAAACTAGGATTTCTTTCATAGCAGATGATAGCAGTGAAAGCCAGTTGAGCGGAGCAATAATGTTTCATGGGTTTTAATAAAGTAATAAATGAAAATGTGTATATAATACAAAATACGTTCCAACATTCTGCACTGCTAGCCTTTACTACTTCCTTCACCACTCCCAACTTCGTGGACATGTTTTCCCCCCCTTCCCATAGCATTTTAGGATTGCCGATACCATTGACTATATATATAGTCAATGCCGATACATTGATCTAACTGCCACAAAGGGTTCCCACATTCAGTACCTTTAGCTTTTAAAATTTCCTTCGCAATTTCCAACATTGTGGACCTGTTTCTCTCCCTTCCTAGAGCATTTTAAGATTGCAGATACTTTAATTTAACTGCCCCAAAGCGTTCCCACACTCCGCATTGCTAGTCTTTACTACTTCATTCACCACTTCCTACGTCGTGGACCTGTTTCCCGTCCTTCCCATAGCATTATAGTATTGCAGATACATTAATGTAACTGTCACAAATGGTTCCCACACTCCACACTGACAGACTTTACTTCTTTCTTCACCACTTCCTACGACGTGGACCTGTTTAAGTTTGCCATTTATGAGATGGATGCATGGATGTGATTCACTGACAAATTGTTTAAGATAAAATATTATTTGTTATTAATCAAATTTAGCTACGTAAATAAAATCTGTCAAATACTGTACCTTAAGAAAGTATGTTTTATCTATGACTGTACCTATTTGAATTTGATCCATGGTGGAAGGAAAATGGTGTATTTTCCTTCCACCATGTATTCGGTCAGTGGTCATTTCCAAATTACCACTTAAATGTAAACCTAATACTTTCTCTGTATTATTTGATCAGTTGTCATCATCCAAATTTTTTCCCTTTGTTCTGTGTTTAGGTCGTGACTTGATTTTTAAATATGCTATGATTCTTTGTTTTTGTTTAAATTTACGTCGTTATTTTGTAACCATCATGGCAACCCATAATACCAATGTTAAAATTGAAAAACTTTGAGTTACTTTAAAATATATAGACATTATCGAAAATTGAAATTGGTTACGTCTAAACCATCCATACATTTGACAAAAAAACCTTGGAAAGTTTGGCAAAAATATGTTCAGCCGTTATTGAGATTAAGTGTTATAAAGATTGCATTGAAGTTGATCCCAAAGAGCTTCGCTTCTCTCCGCTCAATTATCAAAGTTACTCTCACTGTCTTCCCCATGTGCTATGATAAGGGTCCTCGACAAGCTAACAGGAAAGAGTATGATTCAGATTGCTAAAACCGTTTATTAAGGATAAAACGATAAATACTCACTACTCAAAGCTGTGATTTGAGCTGTCAACATGTGTTCTTTCTCTCTGCATTGCTTGATAGTCATATCTTTATTCTCAATGACAAGATTGTTTTTCTTCCCAATAGAAAGAGTTTCATTTGATTTTCTCTCTACATCCTTATATTCTTTTTCAAGAGTTCGCATTTGACTGTAAAGAAAACCAGTTAGAAATGAACAAACTCGCTAAATTATGATTATTTTAATGTTGTTCAACAACCAACAACCAACTAATAGTGTGGTGGCTTAGCAAAATGATCGTGACCGGATGGATTAAAGCTGCAGCTTTTGCACATTTCTTCCATACCCTAAATACAAACAATTTATGGGGGGTTGCCCGATTTTTAGGTCCGCCATCTTGAAATACGACGCCATCTTTGTTTTCTATAGAGGAATTGAACTATTCATTGAAAATGGCATAATGTCAACCAAAAGGACACATTTACGCCATTTTGTATATAACATATGTTTTGTTCACAATTAAATTTGCTATAAAATGAGATAAAAACCACTTCGATAACTTAAATAGTCTTGAAGATATAAACTGTTAAAGTTAAAAATTTGATATATTCCTCTACGCTACATGTAGTTTTTGCTATATATCACCCAAACGGTCAACGGTACGTACCTGTTATTATGATATATCTTATTCGTAATTAAATTTGCTACAAAATGAGATGAAAATCTCTAAATTAACTTAAATAGTTCGGAAGATATAAACCGTTAAAGTTATAAGCTTCTTTAATTTCTGTATGCAATAGGTCCGTGTTTCTTAAAAGTCCCCGCGCTTTGTTTTTTCTGCACGTATTGCGTCAGAAGACTGCAGATTCACACATCAATACTGGACCTAAAATAGTCCTTTTTAAAGTACTTCTTGACTTTTTTCGCCCAAGGGGGGTCGGCCCACAAGGAGTAAGTTGAAAATCTTAAATAAAAGCATAGGCCATGATGCATATCAAATTAAAGAGATTTACCTGTAGAACGCGTTACCACAAACTGCACTATAAAAGGACATGTGGGTCAAAAGTTATACAATGTTATAGTTTTGCTTATTTATTTATTAATTAACGGTCTACACCATTGCATCTCATTGCATATCATATAACATACGTAACGGAACTTAACAACAAGGATCATACATAACAAACAATAGTATTAACAAGCAAAACAATGATCAACAAGAATAAACGTATAACAAACTTATCAAGAATTGAATATAAAAAGATGTAAATAAATCTGGAATTACATAAATTGATCGGTTTAATGTGATAATATTTAAAAATTCTATCAATATGTATCAACATTTTAATAAATATGAAAGCAAACAAGAAATTCAATAACAAACTGGATCATAGGACCACTCTACTGTATTATATGGACCACCAAGGATTATGAGAAACAAGCAAGCAGCTATTTCCTAAAAGTAATAGAACTTGAGGGGAAAATTTCGAGATTTTTAGAAATACTGTTTCCCAAACGATGTAGTCTTGGTAGCGTGCTGTTGTAGGCATATGCTGTAGAATGATATCCCTTTCAAATAGGTTCTGGGATCAGGATGGTCTGGAGCAGCGAAAATTTACCCTGCTCAGCAGATCAGGAGAGTCAAGTTCTGCAATGAGATTCTTCCTCAGGAAAACCAGGTCAGTAATACGCCTTCGAGAACTCAAGTGGTTTGGCCGAAGATGCTGTCGAAGATCCTCAAATGGGTATACCAGAAGAAGTCCTACGATTCTAAAACAAGAGCTGCACTCTTTCGATGTCCTGTGAACGACCAAGTATATAAATGGGGACCATACAGGAGAACAATATTCCAACAAGGAGAGCACAGCCCACACAGAGAACCCATTTCTAGATAATCTCAGAATGAAACCAAGGGCTGAGTTTGCTATCCTTGTTAACCTATCTTGATCATCAGGGTTGAGATATGATGTAAATGATACTCCAAGGTCGTTGACAGAGGTGGATCTAACAAGTGCGTTCCCATTTATTGAATAGTTAAAAAGAGAGGTTGTTGGGGTCCTGTTGAATGAAACTATCATTCACTTGAATTCATTCAAAAGCATTCCATTTTGCATAAACCACATTGAAATTCCATTGATGTTCTGCTGGAGGCATTTCGATTCTGAGAAAAACTTTTTACATGATTTGCGTTTGGGCAGAGATAAAACTGTTCGTACAGCCGATTTTTTGAATTTAAATAGAAATTTAGTTTTTAAAATTTCATAGTCCCATATAGGTATAGCATACGCTATAGGAATAGGCTATATCATACGCTAAATGAGGATATATTAGTCCGTAATATACGGATATTAGAACTTCGAAGGTAGATGTGTTTTTTAAACTACGTAGAACAAAAATTCCAGAACTGACTTTTGTTGAAACCTGCTTAATGTGATCTGAGAAATCAAAATGTTTATATAGTGTCAGTCCCAGAAACCTTACACTGTTAGTTGGATGAACTGTTGTGTCATCCAGAAGTAGGCTGAATCCATTAGAGAGTCTCTTTGAAATAGAGAAGTGCAAAAGTTGGGGTTTTTCGGCGTTGACGGAGAGAAAGTTGGAATCAAACCACTCGATTAAGCTACTTGCTTCCCGAAAGGTAGTAAGCTCCAAGCTTTTGATGGTGCGGCTGGAAATGGAGAGTGAGGTGTCATCAGAAAATAGTGTTGGTTTGGCGGTTGATATGCAAGATGGAAGGGTGTTAATGAAGAGTAGGAATAGGGTAGGTCCTAAAACAGAGCCCTGAGGCATCTCTCTCAAAATGGTGGTCTTATCAGAGGAATAGGAGCGAATGAACCCTGTTGTCAAGAATCTTTGACAACGTCAGCCATATATTAATGAATATTGAAAAGAAAATTGGTCCCAGTAGAGATCATTTAGGTACACCAGAAGAAGCTTCAATCTTTCAAGACTTCGCTCCAGCAAATTTCATTTTTAAAAAGTGATTCCACAAATAGTCCTCAATCCCCAATCCACCAAGCTTTGCCACGAGATAAGTGTGACTTACACGGTCGAAAGCCTTGGATAGGTTCAAATTGACAGAATCGTCCTTATGGTTACGAGAAAAGGCTTGCATTATGTCATGCTGGTACAGAACCAAATTGGTCAAGGTAGATCGCCCTTTATTGAACCCTTGTTGATAGGGCACGATGACATTGTTCAAAGAAAAAGAGAGCCCATGAAGTAGAATTGCTGGAAATATATTAGCCAATGTAGGTTGTACCACCACTGGACGATAACTTTTGACGGATGGGTCACCTTTCTTGAAAATTGGTAGCACATTACCATTTTTAATACCCCGAGGGAACTTTCCAAGCTTCATCAAGATGAGATGAAATGGTGTTGACCATTAATTAATAAATAAATAAGCAAAACTATAAAATTGTATAACTTTTGACCCACTTGTCCTCTTAAAGTGCAGTTTGTGGTAACGCGTTCTACAGGTAAATCTCTTTAATTTGATATGCATCATGGCCTATGCTTTTATTTAAGATTTTCAACTTACTCCTTGTGGGCCGACCCCCCTTGGGCGAAAAAAGTCAAGAAGTACTTTAAAAAGGACTATTTTAGGTCCAGTATTGATGTGTGAATCTGCAGTCTTCTGACGCAATACGTGCAGAAAAAACAAAGCGCGGGGACTTTTAAGAAACACGGACCTATTGCATACAGAAATTAAAGAAGCTTATAACTTTAACGGTTTATATCTTCCGAACTATTTAAGTTAATTTAGAGATTTTCATCTCATTTTGTAGCAAATTTAATTACGAATAAGATATATCATAATAACAGGTACGTACCGTTGACCGTTTGGGTGATATATAGCAAAAACTACATGTAGCGTAGAGGAATATATCAAATTTTTAACTTTAACAGTTTATATCTTCAAGACTATTTAAGTTATCGAAGTGGTTTTTATCTCATTTTATAGCAAATTTAATTGTGAACAAAACATGTTATATACAAAATGGCGTAAATGTGTCCTTTTGGTTGACATTATGCCATTTTCAATGAATAGTTCAATTCCTCTATAGAAAACAAAGATGGCGTCGTATTTCAAGATAGCGGACCTAAAAATCGGGCACCCCCCCATAAATTGTTTGTATTTAGGGTATGGAAGAAATGTGCAAAAGCTGCAGCTTTAATCCATCAGGTCACGATCTTTGCCGATATTGTCTCTAAGCCACCACACTATAACAATTGATGCTAACAAGAAAACTTACTTTACCAAGGAATCAATTGTTGCTTGCATTTTGGACTGTTTTTTAACACATGAATCCCGAAAGAATGCTTCATTTTTTGTTTCTTTTTCCAGATTCTCAATCTGCCTCTTCAGCATTGAATTTTCACTCTGAAAATTTTAACATAGAAAACCATCAAAATAATGCAACATTATTATTAAATACATGTCCTATTTATGTTTACAAAAGTTTGATTATTTCCTTAGCCTATTACTCTAAATTAAAGAGCAAAGTTACATATATTACCAAGAGTTTCTGAGTTGAACCATATTATTGCATTCCATATTTGTTAACACCACAGTATGAGTAGCTAAGATTGTAGATTACCTATTGCGACCCAAACATTTCTTGAAATAAACAGGCTTGGTTTAAAGGAGAGGAAGGATTAAAAAGGAGATAATTGACTATAAGTGTCATAGACTAATGACTTTGCTGTTATACAAATACTCCTTGTCAGTTTATGTAAAACATTATCATTCTTTGACCACTTAATCATCAACTACAATTATACAGCGTGAATAAAAAGTCAAGAACATCCCCATCTAATATTTTACTAAGTGAATATCCTGAGATATCCTTTTGGTGGTCATGCAATCCTATCAGGAAGTTTCATTTTATGATTCTAAAAATTTTGAGTTGCCCTAAATTTTTCCCATTTATGGGGGACAATTAACATTTTTTAAATCATAAAATGAAACTTCCTGCTAAGTTTTCACGAATACCAAAAGGATATCTCTGTATATTTACCTAGAAAAATATTAGATGGGGGTTCTTGACCTTTTATTCACCCTAACTCTCTGTTACGTTTATGCTTCCATCTTCTCCTGAAAAGTCCAACACCATAACCAAATATTTAGTTATTTTGTGAGAGATTCATTTTTATATCCTGGAATGTAATTTTCTCTCCTATTAAAATCCATCCCTATCTCAAAAGTAATGACTCGAGCTTTTAAATGCACTAACATTTAAGAAAACAACTTTTGTCTTGGTTGGGCAATAATTATTTTCGGTCCTGCTATTTATATTTATAACCAGCACAAATAAAAGTTTGTTTGAACTCAATTTTCATAGATGGAAATCCCCAATACAGACATTGCCATTGTTGACTCTTTGTTTTGAGATAACCATTTTTACATTTTGTATTTAAGGAACTACAACATAAGGTTAGCTCTAAACCATTAGATCACAGTATCACCTTGTGATTTAACTTATTGTCAACTAACAGGATTTGAACACAAGACTTCAGGACAGAAATCCTGAGCTCTACCTATAAAGCATAAAACCAATAACTCCTCTAACATGTAGCCGGATAGCCTCTTCCTTCATCTTTTCCCCGCAGCGAGTAGTGACTTTAAGGCTCAGCTGGTGTTTCACAGCTGATTCTGTGGCTTCTTTGAACATCTCTTCGCATTTGTGCAAAGCTTTATTGGTCAGATCCAGCTGGGCTTGCAGGTTGCTCACCTGGATTAAACATGTTGTATTATTTGTGTACCATATAATAGAGGGGAATAGCCCTAAACAACTAAGTGGTGTTAAGAGGTGGGTGAAACCAATGAATAGAAACCTTATAAAAAGCTAAAAGTATGATTATGGGGAAAAGTCAGACTGGATTTTGCTGCCGAAATGAGCTTTGCACGGCCACCACTAGGTAGGTAAGCGCTAGCCTTGTTCTCTCTACCTCTCTCTCTACGCCAATTCTTTGTCTCACTCACAATGCTGTAGGGTCCCATTGACGCCGCTGCCCGCAAGCAATATTAGTGCCTCTCCTACCTAGCGGCCGGAGTTAACTTGCCAAAATTCAAAAATCCCAGGCTCGAATTTTTAAAATGGGCATTTCTCTTCTTATAAGGTTTGTATTCATTGGTGAAACTCTTGGCTCATTAATGAGCACCCAACTTTTATTTTTGTTTTGTTATTAACAAAAGTGTACATAGAGTTTGAGGAACTAGAACTGAAGGTTACAGCAGCTATAACTTCACCTCTAATTCTCCATAGTATCCATCCTAGTAAAATTATATAACAGGTTAAAATTTATGTTCTAAACTAAACTTAATGGTTTTTCCATGCAAATAAAATGCCTATGGTGATGGAAATTAGGATGTTGAATGTCAAGAAGTTTGGGTGTTTAAGAGCCTATGCCATGTCATTTTAGACAAGGAAGCTGTGAATGGATAATTTTTCATGTTTTTGTTGAACGTTTTTTTTTTTTTTTTTTTTTTTTTATAATGGGTATTTATAGCAGGTTGGTGTCAAAAGAAATAAGATTAATTGCTAAAAAACTCACCTCCATCTTTAAACTCTCAATCTCCGAAAGCAGTTCTTGCTTGGAGAGCTGCAGTGTAATGCATTGCTGCTGAAGTTCTTCTAACAATCCCTGTCAAAACAATACATTTAAGTTATGAAACCAATATTTAAAAGTATCATTTTAGTTCAGTAGCTAAAGAGAAAGGGGGGGGGATTTAAATGTGAATGTTGATTTCAAAACCATTTGAAGTCTCGAAGTGTGAAAGCAAAATTGTTGTAATTTTGTTCTAAGTTTGTGTGAACCCAGAAATTACAGTTTAAACTAATTACTTTTAAATTAGTTACAGAGTACTTCAGCACTGTACAATAAGTGTCCAAAAATATTCACCTGTTTTTGGGGTAGTTCCTCAATACAATTAATGAGTTTCTTTTTCAATTCCTCTGCCATTGCTATTATTTTTCTGGAACAATACAAAGCCTAGTTATTGGTAGCTACAAATTAGTACCTGTGTCTAATCTTACAGAGTGAGGGTTTATTGTAATTATTTGGTATTATAAATTATTACAAACTATACATAAAACAACAAATTTGTCAACCCATTTTACAATGAAAACATAAAAATGTTAAAGAAGCTATTTTTATACTAACTACTACTGTACAATTAGACATAGTTTTTTTCACAATATTTAGGCTACAAAAAATAAATTGAATGAAGAATCTATATTGTTGTTATGCTTATAAGAGAATGTCAAGCTGGCCTAATTCTCAAGTGGCGTCAGACGGAATAGGGCTTCATCTGACGTCACTTCTCTAATCTGCCTTGTCGATTACATATTTATAAGTTACTCTGCACTCATCTTATGTATATGGAAGCAGACCCATGAATATAAAAAAAGTTAAAGTTAAGGCTTTGACTGGTTAAGGTTTGAAATCTATGTTATGCTTTAAAAGCAAAACACTTGAGAAGCAGAGCTATGCTTTACAAGTTGAGCCACACTAAACTAAGTTAGAAAACAAATAAAACTTTTCATGTATAAATAACTTCTAAAAATAGCTTCCCACTTGTTTTAATTTTCCTAATGCAAATAAGCAGCTGTTTTGTAAGTGATCCAATCATTTCATCTATTACGATTGTTTATACTATCGATATATCAAACTATGGAACAAGAATACAACAATAACCTACAACCGATGATGATCAATAGATATATAATTTCAATACATGCCATTGCTTACAATCAAAGTATACAACTGAGTTTATAAAAGCTGCCTTTTACTCCTTTTACTGCCTTTTACTGAAGTAAAAGAGCTACTTCAGATCCAACTCATATATTAACCAGCAGTTTTTGTTGCAGTATGACAAAAGTATATTTCATCAATAAGGTCCCCTTTGATCTGACTTCGACCCGATCACAAGTTTTAGGATCAAGGTGAAGCCAAAATCGGAAAATGAGCAATCGTTGAAAAGCCCATGTGATGAACTATATTTTTCGTCATATTGCACCATTATTTGAACAAACTATGTTACATAACTAAAATAGTTTTCTTTTTAGGATAAACTCTCAAAACTTCTTCCATCTTGTTTTCAATTTAATTTGCTAATGGAAACAAGCAGCTGTTTAGTTAGTGATTCAATCGTTTTGTCTATTACGACTGTGTTAGTGTACATTATACTATCGATATGTCTAATTATTTTCAATAAGGTAGCACTAAGCTACAATCGATTAAACAATCAACACATACTTTCAATACATGCAATTGTTTACAATGGAAATTTTCAACTGAGTTGACAACAGCTGATTTTTACTCCACAGGGTCTAAAAACGCTTTTTACTCCACAGAGAGTAAAAATGCTACTTTAGACCCGCAACACACGCATTAAAAAAACTTATTTTGCTGCAGTATGACAAAAAAATTATTTTTGAACTAGCAATATCGGAAAAAATTAAATTCCCCAAGTTGCAAAATATTTAATACTGTAAATTTGAATTATTTGGTATATGTTGTTACAATAATAATAGCATTTGTATATCAAAATCTTCTTCCCTTCATATGGGCCATTGGTGGGTTATGTTTCATGAGTAGAACGTAACACATTACTCAATACTATGACTGTAAGAGACATTCCACCACCACATTCCCCATCCATTGACCCAGTGAAGCCCTACACTGGCCTTGGTGCTGGTCATGTAAACTCTCTTGTATAACCTATCCCTTGTAACCGGCCACCATAACTTTCAAAATGCATAAGGTGAATAACAGAACTATAGCGTTATAAACTACTTGGAGGGTTATGACCTTGACAACTTGACTCCATAGTTTTATCAGCGACATATACAACTATTAATATTGTAAATGGGTACAATATACGTGACTGGGACGGTGGCATCGTCCTGTAATCCAGCTACTAGGTGGTCACAAATTGTGGATATTTATAGGCATGCACTGTGGATACGATACTCCCTGGTGTGGATGAACGTCTGCACTAGTGAGTACTACGACTATCCGCAGTACTATCCTGATAATTAGACCAATTTGTTAATACCAAGGCAAAAATGTGGTTTGGATTCCACTATAAACTGTAGGTCCCTTTGTTGCTATTAGCTGTATGGGCTATTAATTAACAGATGTGTCAAGGAATATGTCAGCCTTAGTCACTAACAAAGCTACAAATCGCGCCACTCATCCTACACTCATCACCATTCATACTTGGCTTAAAATACCTACTTTGTATGGTCGCAATTTCATTAAAAGTATTAAAGTAAAGTATTAAAGGTATTTGGAGGGTTATGAACTTGACAACTCGACTCCATTAGTTTTATCAGGCAACATATATACAACTATTATTATTGTAAATGAGTACTTTTTTTGTTTAGCAAACTATTTTGCAGATAATCCTGTAGATTTGTAATTTATCATGTTTCTTTAAAACTTATTTTCTCAGCTCGTGTGCATCATAGAAGAAGATTGAAAAAAGAATCTATGCATACCGTTAGAAAGATATTTTCCTGTAGGTATGCAGAATCCCTTTATAAATTAAAATAGGCTAGAAAATAAGCACAAAAAATGAATTTAATTTTAAAAAATTAACCTTGGTCTTATGGGTTGTCATGCTGGTGCTGAAATAACAATGAATTATAAACAAACAAATGGAAGAAATTCCAACCACATGTTTTATTTACAGTGTGGGGTAAAAATAGAGAAATCTGTACATTAGATATTTTTGGTCGAGTTTTTGACCACTGGCCGACCTCTAGTTTATCCTATTTTTTAACCACTGAAATATTAAATTTAATATTAATTTAAATTACTGATTCCCTATTTATTAGATTTATTTAAATTATTTTTACAATATGAAGGATGGGGTTATTGATTCTTATACTGTACATGGTATATTCAAAAGAAATCTCAAAGTACAAAAAATATGTCTAATAACACTAGTAATGATATACTGTTGACTGACAAGACGGTAAGTACATATCAAATATGGTAAGTGGTGATCGGTTTGGATTGGACACTCCCAATCATCATCAGGTCCAATAGGTGAATCCGCTTAACTTTCTTTTAATCAGATGTAGGAAGAAATCTTTAATACATATTAAAAGATAAAAAAACAAAAACTCCTGACTTCAGTTTTGTTCCTTTGACCAAAGCTGAGTTCCCAGAGGAGCTTTGTTTACTTGTCTCATTAAGTATTTCTCCCTTAAATTCTAACAAAATTTCTTTACCAATATCATATCACAGCCTCATATAACACACATTTTTTTTAACAATTACCAATAGGCTAATATTATTTGTGATCATAACTGAAAAATTAAATTACAATTAAATGTTATTAATTACTACCGTATTATTTACTAAATTTAGCTTAATATGATTATTTTTTTTACTTTTTGTGCTTTTGAAATATTGTTTAAATTAAGAAAATAGATAAGACGATACATTTAATTATAAACAAAACAATACAGCTTCTTCTTCTTCTCTTTTTATAAATAAATATAAAGTAAATTAAGGCTTAAAATTTAATTTATATAAGGCATTATCTAACTTTTACTAAACGTATCACTAAAAAATGGAACATGGCATTACATCCCCAAAAAAGTTGACATGATGTTAGTAACAATACACAAAGAAAGGCTCTGCCCAAAACATCTTACAGCATAGTGTAATATATTGTAAATCCATTCATCAACAATACCACATTGCATAACAATGTGTGGCAGTCGTAATACTTGTAGGTCGCATAACAGAGTTAGGAAGCCTTACAGAATGCATATATACAAGTTGCTGTGAGGGTAGAGTCAGTCTGATGCTGAACCGAGGCAAAGCACTGATATCCCGCAGAGACGGGGACTGGCTGACAACTAGGGTAGACAAGTGGGTTGCTCAGTGTCAAGGATACTCCAGACTGAGGAGTAGATTGTTGTCCAGAGGTTGTCAAACCATGATGGACCGTCCATCACCTCACCGTCGCTGGAGCCGATCCGACTCTGAACTGCTCAACGACTTGATCCCAGTGAACAACGAGACTCCCGAAAATGTCAACATCTCGTCATTGAGTCTGCATGAAGAAAACGTCGAGTGTGACATGACTACAGGCGAGAAACAGCTACAATACGACCAAGACATCGCAGACTACATCGCCTACTTGAACAGACCGATCATCAACATGAACGACCATTACATCGAGATCCACCAGTACCACTACGAGCCCAGTCACTTCACACAGCACGCGCCGATCCGCCCTCCCACCAGGAGGAAGAAGCACAAAATCGATTTGAAAAAAACTGAAATCGTTTGCACAGGAATAAGCCCAGTGAAGACAACCGAGTACAGTGAGTTTCTTGTGAAGAGGAAAGACGAAAATAGGAACATCATTGTTAGATCCAACAATGAGGAGAACAGAGATCCTGAACCATTGGATCGCCATAGACCTTTGACACAAAAAGAGAAGATGGAGAAGAAAATAGACACGATTATCAACAAAGAAGGCCATGTGAAGGTGAAGAGGGGAGAGACGTTTTCTACAACCCTGCATACAAACTCTATCGCTCCAGATGCCCATAGGACCTTCCTCAGCTTCCGGACTGCCAAGAAGAACAAGAGTGGGCGTAGAAAGAGGAAGATTGTGGTGGGGGAAGCCGGTGTTGAGGGTCCGATCTGGCCAGGCGTACTTCTCACCTTCGACAGATCCATCTCCCCAGGTCCACCTGAGAATCCAGAAGAGTCAGAAGTGTGAACTGTGTACAAGTGTTGTGTGAATCTAACATGTAAGTAACACATTTACTAGCTTTCCATAGTGAAAAAGAGGAGATGATTTGTTTGGTCTTTGATGAAAGGACTAAACTGCAAATGATATGTTAAATGTCCCTACAAGAATTAAGAACTGATTGTTAATAGAATAATTAATTTTTTGTTCAATCATAAACAATTTTTGGTTTTATAGA